AGTACAGTAGATTTCTGTAAAATCAGTTCTATATCAAAGACACTGTTGGACTTTATGGAGACTCTGGCTCCATCTCCTCCCTGCCCACCTACACAGGAGACTGTTGTGCAAGCAGCTCTTGCTCTTCCCTACTCCTCAGCTGGGGATGGAATCTGAGCAGGGCCCTGCAGGTGCATAAGGGCAAGGCATGGGGGGAAGTTTATTCCTTCTTGCTTAGAATCATAGAAATGTAGGGCTGGAAGGCACCTTGAGAGATCATCTAGGATACATCTACACTGCACAGTTATTTCAGAATAAGCTATTCCAGAACAGTTATTCCAAAATAGTTTATTTCAAAATAGCATGTCTGCATGATAGGGAAACCTCAAAATTAGTCCAAGGCAGTCTTCCCTAATGTAGATGTGCTATCTGGATTTAGAGCCCCAGGAGAAATAACTTAGAATGGCCTTGGTGAGGAGCTATTTCAAAATAGCAGAAGTGGAGCACCTACACACGCCTTATTTCAAAATAGTTATTTCAGAATAGGAGTTATTCTTCATAGAATGAGTTTATAGAAGTCAGAATAAGCCTTCTGTTATTTCAAAATTATTTCAAAATAAGGGAATTGTTGTGTAGACGCTCGCATAGTTATTTCAGAATAACGGCCGTTATTCTGAAATTACTTTGCTGTGTAGACACTCCCCTAGCCCAGCTCCCCTGCACTGAGAAAGGACCAGGCAAATCTCCTCAACCATCCTTGACAAGTGTTTGTCCAACCTGTTCTTAAAAACCTCCAATAATGGGGATTCCACAACGTTCCTTGGAAACCTGTTCTAGAATTAAATTATCTGTATAGTAACCAGAGGTGAAAGTAAGCAGGTGCACCCAAGTACATAGCTCCCACAAGAGGTGGCTGAGCTGTGGCAAAAGCAGCAGGGACCCGGGTTGTGATAGAACAGTATCCGTTAGAAATTTGAAGTTACTTTCACCACTGATAGTTACAATGTTTTTGCTAATATCTAACCTAAATCCCCATTACTGCAGATTAAACCCACTGCTTCTTGTCTTGCCTTTGGTGGGCATGGAGAACAATAGATCATGATCATCTTTATACCACATTTGAAGACAGTTATCTGATCCCCACTCAATCTGCTTTTCTCAATATACAGGGGATTTTGTTTGTTTACTTTTCTGCACTTCCTTGCATGACTGAGTAAGGGCTGTGCCAACCTACCCTAGGAATAGTTCCACTGACATCACTGGTTTGATACTGCTTTTACCTGAAAACTCAGATACAAGCAAATCCAGAAAAGAGCCAGAGTGAGGACCAATTGTTTCAGTGAAAGGCAAATAACGTCTGTGTGAGATTTAACACTTGGGATCACCTACTAAAAGAATAATAAGCAGCTGTTCAAGGATGTGGAAAGCAGTATGGATACTATGTGTATTCTTTGTTCTGTTATTAACAGCTTACTATCACATCATGAGGCTTTTTGGATTTTGGGACTCGTAGCTAAATACCCTGCAGAATAATAAAGCCAGGTTCTTAGCTTCCACAAAGGAGATAATTCCTTTGTCTCACTAATTTAAATATTTAATAAAATACCAGGACACTAATGAAGACCATGCTCAGCTACTTGAAACTAGAATCAAATGGGGAGAATCTTTCATTGTTGCCTCTGCTACAGCAGCATTTGCCATTTTGTGTCAGTCCCTTCCACAGGAACCAATAACAGCTGCATCAAATGGCTGGCAAAGGACACAGCTCCATTATGTCACCTGTGCATTCTTCTCCACAAAGTGAATGCCCCTAGCAGGCTCCTGTTCCCTGGGAACCAAGATTCCTAATTACACCACCAGTCTCCAAGGTAGAACTGGGACAGGGTATTTGTTATTATTTATTCATCCCCTTTTACAATCTTTTCCCAAAAAAAATAGTTGCTAAACATTGGGGGAGAGGGGTTGTTTGTTTGGGCTTTGGAGGGGGTTGGGGGTTTTTATGGTTTGGTTTGGTTTTTCTTTTGTTTTGTTTTTTTACTATTTCCCATATACTGGTCAGCTGAGAGATCAATTAAAACACAGGTGCAGTTAGAAAAAATTCATTTGATAACTTTCATCAGATATTTAAAGCATTTATCCATTTAAAAATCTTGTACTTTGCTCTAATCATGAAAATACTGGTGTCACCACCAATGTTTCTAAATAAATATGAAATCTAAAGAATACCGCAGCACAAGACTCTCTAGCTAACCTGCCTTTCTTGAGGGACTTAAAAGGTCATTTCTCTGTAATTAAATGTATTGAAAACCAAAGTACCAAAGGCTTTTAGGCACAGCTCAGAGAAAAAGGCTCAGCACATCAGTAAACAGCATCTCTCAGCACAATTCCCTCCCTTCCCCTCTCCACCCCTCTTCCTTTGCTCTGGTCTACAACAGCAGCATATCATGACATTCTGCCCGAAGACTGCTGTATTGTGTGTATATGTAAACAAAGTCCCTCTCAACTCAACTAGTCCAGGTAACCTGCATGAAAGGTGTAAGCTGGGGACTTACTCTCCCTTTAGCCTTTGCATGGTCTTGAAGTGACACTTTGGCCTCAATATTTTTTATGGAAATTGGAGAGACTACCCAACCAGCCATAGAACCAAACAATCAAATCTGATCCTCGTGTGGTATGAATCAACAGAGCTTCACTGACCTTAATAGAGCGAGGCTATTTTACACTAGGTGAGGATTTGGCCCATAATCTGACTAATGTACTTTGAATGAATGAGAGAAAAAAAGGGTTTTAACAAAAGAAGCCACCATTCTGCTGTATGCCACCTGAGCTCTGCCATAAAAGCAGGGAAAAAATGATGGAAATTAAAGTAATTGCTACATCACAACAGTGGAATAATTCCAAAATGTACATTTGAATGAAAATGTCCTGAGTCTTGGGCATTTGGCACAGGCACAAAAGTGCTAAAAAGTGAGTGTAACCAGCTGGATGGCATATTCAAGCCTTTTCTAAAAATGTGCATGCTGTTGAGACGAGTGACATAATGCACTGAGAGAAAGGCAAGATTCCAAAGTTCAGTCAAAAGGCACCACTGAATTTCCAAGTAAAAGGCAGGGGAACAATATATTGTTCATCTCCCTTTTATGCTCCTGTTTAGCTTGGGCCACAGTCTGGCCCACAGTGCCCAATAAAGGAAAGCTAAATTGCACGTAGGGAGCTAACCTATTCAGCTGCATGATGGAAAGAGCTCTGAAAATGCATATAGGATGAATTAAGGGCTCCAAGGGGGACTTTGGCTCATTCCTTGATGAATCTACAAGTTGCAGTTGCACACATTGCAAAGTTTGTAGGAAGGAGCTCAGCTTGGAGGCTTCTCAGCCCTCCACAGCTTCTAAGGGATGCAGGAAGTGTCACCCCTGCTGACATCCTAAAGGGATGTAGTGAAGGATTCCCTCCTGAGGAGCATTGGACAGGGTTTGCCAATGTTTTCTAGTACAATAGCCCTCGATGATCAAATTGCCATAGAATATCTACATTTGTAGAAGAAAAAAAGACATACTGTATTATTTGAGAACTATTGTACAATCGTGTAAATCAAAGCAGGATCGCAATACATCTGCAAAGTGGGGGAAGTATTTTGGATTGCTGCTGGAGTTCAACAGACTGCACATCTAAGAGGTCACTGCTTTCCTGCCATGGAGAGATGCCATTAGTACTCATGACTGCTGTGGAATGAAGCACTGGGCACTCGAAGAAACTGTCACACAATTTTGCTTCTCCAGCAACCCAAAACTACTTTGCATCAAGTTACAAAGTGGAATCTCTGCCCATGCTCTCTGAGGCATTGAATTTCAACCAGGACTAGTACCAAGCAAAAGAAATTTCCTTCATCTGCCCCTCAACTCTAGGCACACCAGCATCTATACTCAGACACACATGCACAGACACACATAGCCACCTATTGTCTATTACATAATGTGGGTCCAAATCCTGCTTCTGTCCTCATAGGAGTAGTCTCATTGCTTTCATCTGGACTACTTGCAGGCAAGCAGGATGTGGTCTATATTACTATACATTTCATATGCAAATATTTAGAAAACATAAGCATTAATGCACTTTATATTGTGTTCATAATCATTTTTTTAATTAAAAAACTCACTATACAGCAATTTTTCATTATTTAAAGTATGTAGCTCCCAGATAATGTTTGAAAAAAGCCAGTCATCAAACATACTTGTAGAATATCCAGGTAAAAAATTGATTTAAAAAATCTGCACCATATGTTTTATTATATAGTTTTGGCATACCTTTCATTAGTAGTTTAACTATATTATTGTGTCTTAAAGAACCATGCAACAAATAAACACAGATATAGTAGAAGAATACATTTTTTCAATTGTTTACATAGCAGTAAAACATAGCATATTGACAGTTAAGTCATTACATGTAGATACTAGCTCCAAATCATTGCTCACTGGAATCATCTTCTTTACTGTCCAGTTCACATGGATACTGCATGAACAACTGTATTCTATTTTTAATTGCCAAAGTGTTTGTTCATATTAAAGCAAAGGAAAGTTTGGGAAAGGGGGAGAGGAGGTGGATTAAATTACACTGTTGAACACTTGTTTTCTTCTGTCTTTACTGTTCTCTGTAAAGACTTTTTTGACTGTGGCACAAAGTAAATGGCTAGAACAAATGCAGAAAATCCTGATTTGACCCATTTTTATGTTGTTAGAGGGTTTTTTCCCTCTCTGTGTTTGCAGAAAGATCTAATGCTGCAACTAATGTTATGAAGAGAACCATTCCATGTAGCACCTAAAGAACTAAAGAATTGGATAGGAATGAAAGGGGTTTTATTTTTCTCCTATAGTGACTTTTGTGTCCAATAGGAACATCTCAATTAAATGAGTAACTTAAGCAGTTCTAGAATTGCCTCTACAAACTCTATACAGTAGTAGTGGCAATAACATCTGTAATTTGTGTTCCAGTTTAAAAGTTTTACCACAATCCCAGTATACCCATTAGTGGATACAGCCATAGCGCACATAAACAACAAAGTCTGGGCAATCCATTTTTTTGGTATTCATGTAGTTTTCCAGATCAGCCATTGCCTGGACCCAGATGACATACATCACGACCACCAGTGAAAACAAGATGCCTGTAAAAGAAATATCAGAGTTTTACTGTTATGGGACATGAAATATCGATTTTCCTATTATGGTATCATCTCAAAACCAATCAATGATTGAGTCCTGTTGGCTAGCACTATTAGCTATCTTCACATAGTTGTTGTTTACTGCTGCTTTGCACAGTAATGACTTCCCTTTTTTTGTTTCTGAATGGCATGGGAGAGGCATAGGGAAGCATTGGTCCACTGGGAGCCAGTTGCACATGGGCTGCTGGTTCTAGTATGCCAAAATGAAGTAAAACAGCAACATGTTTATGTCTTGGATTTGGCCGGGTGTCCATTATGTTGTATTTGAATTCTTGAGGACTATAGAGATATCTCGTTGTTCCCAAAGTTCAGGGATTGCTTCTCAATATAGATCTTATTCGGGGCAGGAAAAGGGTGGGGAAAGAAAGAATGGGAGGGAAATTCCTGCATCCTTTGTATATGTCAACACACTTCACAATGGTGCTTAATCTCAGTGGTATCATTTATGATTTATTCACGTCAGAGATTCAACTCAATCATTTTATGGGCAAATACTGCTGCATCACACTTGAAAAACCTCCTCCAAATTCTCTCTGGAATAGGACTGAAGTATGAAAAATAGCTTCCTGAAAGGAAACCACCATAATAAAAATGGCCTTTTCCCTCAGCCACCATCCCAGGGACCCCTTAGATTGCTTAAAAATGGAAAAATAGAAACTATATTAATACTTCTCCTAAACTATATTAATCACTTTGCTACTACTCTATCTACCAGAATCAGGTAGGCAGAGCCAGCACACCATCAGTGTTGGCTGATGTAGTGGTTACATCCTGACTACTATCACTTATCCCAATGGAGTGTTAGCCTTTCAAAGATACAGTCTTGCAGTATGTCATACCCGAATGGAGGATCATCTATTAAGGTAAGGGCCTGATCCTGATTTTTTGCACACTCCAAAACTCTCATTTATGGCCACAGGCATTCTGGTTATTCTCAGATTACAGGGCTGAGCCCACAGTTTGCTGCCATCCAGTTATTCACATGTTAAAATGTTAGGGATTCCCTACTTATTAAATCTCCATGATGCTTATATGAAGATTCCACTGTTCAATAATATTAAAAAATACATATTCATGGGGTACTTTGCAACAAAATGTGACAGCCAATGGATTCTACAGGAAAAGCAGGGGAGTGGGAGTCAAAGGCTTCTTGTGTTTATTCCAAACCCTGCTGATTACTTGCTATGTTTCACCTTGGACAAGTAAGTAACTTAAGCTAAACCATATTGAAATGGTGGGTGCCCAATTTGAGCCCCCTAAACTGGAGGTTAATTATTTTGCATCAAGAGTTTGGTTTTCCAGGTCTCCTTCTGTGAAGTCAATTGCTATCAAGTAGTTAAATAAAAAAAGGCCTAAAACTAGTTGAACTATACTCAGGAATCATAGTCAACCCAAATTCAGAGAGTAAAGTGGACTGGCAAGGTGTTTTATTGTCAAAAATAGATAATACTTTTACAATGCTTCATTAACATCTCATAAGAGAGAGCTCACAACTGTTTAAACTTTGTGAAAACTAGATTTTGAAAACTACCAAAAAAGAGCTGAAGCGGTTAACCTGAGGCACAATCAAACTGTGACTTAAATTCCCAAAGGATCTGCAATATTAATGAGATTGAAGGCAAGCAGAACTGCTATATAAAGAGTGAGTCAGACCCCTATACACACTGCCCATCTATGAAATACACTTTCGGGATTACTTATTTTCCAAGTGCTTGATTTCATGACAAAGTCAAAAACCCCAACTCTACAAGGTATAAATTAAATTTTGAAAATCTTTTAACCATAATGTTGCATAAACTTAATCTTGAATAAATTTAATACTGATGTTGTATTAGACATACAGCTGGTATTAGTGAAATAATCAGAGCTAGAGGGATCACCTCAGGGCAAAACGTGCCCATGAAATAAAAATGCCGGCTCTCTGAATAAAAGTGAAGTCGAGCAAGAGAAACTTGTAACAGAACAGCTAACAATAGCGGATACTGTAGAAGACTAGGGAAAAATTGGAACCAAACAGAACTATAGAGGACAAAATATAGCATTTCTCCATGTAACAAGATAAAAATCTTAGTGCCAAATACACGAATGGAGTACAGCAGAGATGACATTACCACCAGACAGTACCCAAATATTAAAAGATGTTGCAATAATAATGTAACAAAATGCATACAAAGGATAAAATTACCTCTCTGTACATGTCAAATGTGACTGTTCTCAGGGCACCCAAAATCTTCTGCCTCTAGTGAGAGGCAGTCTTGCCTGTACTGGCAGGAATGTTAGCTCCCTATCACCAACAGCCTGTCTGCCAATCTCTGGGCTATGCCAACTCTGCCTTTGCCTTGCAAGTTAACAACGGGCTTACACTTATCAACAGACACCTTTTCCATGTAGCAAAGTATGTGTTTCCTTAATGTTCAGTCTGTTGAAGTATGTCTACACAGCCGCATTATTTTGGAATAACTGACATTATTCTGAAATAACATAGTGAATGTCTACACTACTAGCCTTTATTTCAAAATATCGTTGAGCTCGAGGACTTCTTACTTACTCCCACTCATGGTAACCCTCTTTTCACGAGGAGCAAGGGAAGTCAAAGGAAGAGTGTTCCTTCTTCCACTTCTTGCTGTGTAGACAGAAAAAGCCAAATTAAGCTATTTCAACTTAAGCTACACAATTGACTGTAGCTCAAGTTGAGCAGCTTAATTCGACTTTTGCCCTGCTGTGTAGAGTGCCCTAAGTGAATCCACTGTCTGCAGAGGATTATAGGACAAGGCAGTTCAGTTCAGGCAATCAGAACAACAGGGCAGCTTTGTGCACTGGCTGGGCCTCAGCATTTGCATTTACATGGCTGCCACTTTTTTCCGGCTTGGGGATAAGCCGGAGAAAAGCACCAGTCTAGACGCGATTCTCCAGAAAATAAGCCCTTTTCCGGAGGATTTCTTATTCCTACTATTTAAATCCCCCGCGGATTTGCAATTCCGACTGGTCTAATCTGCATCCCTTTTCCGGAAAAGGGGTGCACTGTAGACACAGCTTTGGAGAGCTGGCTAGTTTTATAGGAACAAGGATACAAATTTTCATGAAAACACACATTTTCCACAATATGTCTCAGTGAATGAATACAGTGTGCCCCTCTCCACTGTATGTTATACTGAAACAGGCTTTTGTCTTTATTCATAGACAGGGCAACCTCCTGTCTATGAATAAAGACAGGGTGATGCACTGTCCAATGTAATGTGTTTTTGTTTTGTTTTTAATCTCCAAATGCATACACGGCTTCTCGAATTCCTGGAGGGTGTTTGACACACACACACACCCTCTAGGCCCTGCCCCCATTCCACCCTTTCCCTCAAACCTCTGCCCCTACCGAGTCTCTTCCTACCCCTGCTTCACCCCTTCCCTGCCTCTTCCCCACCTGCTCTCTTGAGAGCATCCCATCCCTGCTCTCAGAGCTTGAAGGCCACAAATCAACTGTTCATGGAGCTCCATAAGTGCTGTGAGGAAGAGAGAAGAATAAGTAAGTGCAGGGCTGTAGGCACATGAGAGGCACGGGGACAGGAGGAAGATGGAGGGAGGTTGGTGCTGGTGGGTGCTCCATACCCACTAAGTTTTCCCCTCAGTGCTCCAGCCCCAGAACACTCATGGAGTCAGAGGCTATATCCAAGTGGTTTTGATAGTTTGCAGCTGTCTCTGATGGTTTTTCATTGATGGAATCATGGAATCATTGAATCTTAGGACTGGAAAAAACTTTGAGAGGCCATCAAGTCCAGTCCCCTGCACTCATAGCAGGACCAAGCACCATCTAGACCATCCCTAACAGATATTTGTCTAACCTACTCTTAAAAATCTCCAATAATGGAGATTCCACAACCTCTCTAGGCAATGCACACATTTCCCAATTACTGAATCTTGAAAAGTTATGAGCTTTTAGTAGACACCACATCTTACCCTTTCTGCATAAATAACTTTCAAAAGATGTGTTTGGTATACTGAGTTTAAGTCTGAAACAAGAGCTGTTTGCAAAGAACAGGGGCTCTTTACCAAGGGGCCTGCATGTCATATCAACAGAATAACTACGTTTCTTTTTAAGTCCCTCAGAGGAGGCTGCAAGTGGAACTTGAATGGCACATGGGCCTTGTACTGGACCTCCTCACAGATATATTTCACCCAGAGTAAAGCTTCATCTACACTACACAGCTTTTAGAAACATGAGTCGGGCAATGTAAACACTGTTGGCACTTTTGCCGACAAAATATATTCACGCCCTACAGGCAGGGTTCACGTTGTTGACAGTACAAGGCCCCTGCCAACAATGAGCAGCTTACACTGCTACGTGCCACAGCAAAACTTTTGTCTGGGGGAAAGGGGATTAAGAACCTATGAATGACAAAAGTTTTGTCTCTGAATTGGCAGTGTAGACAAAGCCCAAGTAAAAAAGTGTAGACATAAGTGCTTTGATTGTAAGAACAGCTGAAAATAACTAGTTCTTATATATCAGCTCTGTACTGGGTAACATGGTTAGCACTTCAGGCATTAAAAGTGGCTGATTCTTGGAACATGTGGTATCTTACTATTGGCACCCTTTGTTCTCACGGCATCAGTGAGCAACCCTTATGAATTGTTAAATAAGAGCACAACACTGAATATCTGCAGAAAGGGGAGCTAGAACTGCAATAGGAGAGTGAAGACCAAGAAAGACATCATCATGTGATTTTACAGCAGGACATTAAAACTTATGTATGCCAAATTGTAATGCAGGTAAACTTGCTTAACAAAATGTGAAAGAAAAATACTTTTGGAAAAGTCAGAGGGAAAAATCACAGTATTCTATATAGACAACATCTGTTCTGCATGGCTGAGATTATGGGGCATGTGATGTTGTTTGTTCACAATTTCCTCCAATCTGATGCTATCCACAGCCTCAAAAACATCTCCGACATTAT